AATCATCAAAATGGATCAAAAAACAGCAAAAACCATGGATCTACATTGTGATTATCCAAATAAGTTCAAAACATAATTATATCTAGAATTGCCAACCTTCAAAGCGGAGATTTGCTTTGGTGAGTGTTGATTCACTTGAAATTAGCTTATCCAAGCAAGAAACCCAGAGATTCTTCGAGATCCAAGAGCTTTCTTATGATAGAAATGAAGATCAAGCAAGATCAAGCAAAAATGATCCAAAAAGCACTTCCAACCTAGCTTCCAAATTTAGATCTAAAACCAAACGAAAATTGAGGGATAAATTGAAGATAATGGAGATGAACGATGGAGGTTTAGCTCTAGAATTCAATGATTCCAATGAAGAATCAAAGAACTCAAGTGATAGAGCTCTAATGGAGGTTTTGGGAGTGAAAAAGTGCAGAGAAAACTGAGAGCAAATTCTCAAGAATGAATGTGAAATCTGAAAATGAAGGGTAATTGTGTGAGGTTTAGAGCAAATTCACTTAAATAAGCTCTAGGTTTGCAATCAAAATGTGTTTTAGAATGAGGATTAGCATTTGGAATGGAAATTAGGAGTGGAATTAGGAATGGAGTGTTTGAAATTTGGAGGGAAATGGTGAAAATTGAAACAATTCTAGATCCTTCCAATGATGGTCATGTGAAATCAATGGTAAAAAATGATTGGGAAATTGCACATGCTGAAAATTCAAATATTTTGGCAAACTGTGCTTGAAGTAATCGGTTACCCTATATAAGGTAATTGGTTACCCTACTCAAAATTTGCCACTTTTGGCGCCAAATAAAGTGAATCCTGCATGATCACCTGTTGCCACCTATTTTGTGCTCTGTTATGCCTCTGAAACTTGCTCTTGAATATGGTGACTGTGAGAACACCTGAGATACCCTCTGTATTACCCTCTGAGCTGAAAATTAACCTGCTGGGCAAAATAAATGTCGGAGCCTCCGACGCTCGCTGTTTAGACTCTTGTAATAAAAGGGAACCCTGAGCCATGGAAATACCTTGATCCCATGTCTTGAGAACCAATGCTATGATACACGGAAATGCAAAATGTAGAGAAACATAAGTCAGTTATGGTTAAAACGGAAGGGAAAATTTTGGGGTGCTACAATCATCATAAAAAAGGGGGAGATTGTTAGAACGAGATTTGTTCTTGACATTTTCTCTTAGTTTTGATGATAACAAAAGTATTAAAAGAACAATGGTTATTTGATGTGTGTTTTATTTATGCAGGTTCTTGTTCTTGTACGTAAATAATCAGAATTTGTTTACTTAAGATACACTTAGAGTTGCTTCATTGCTAGCTTCTGGTGGCAGAGTCTGAAGAACAATTTCTAGTGAGGTTTGACAAAGACTCTGAGTTGAAAGCATCAGCACTCAGATGAGTTTCTACACTTAGTAATTGTATATCAGCTTATGGTACCATTCAGAGTTGGCGATAAAGTTGTGGACTATCCGTACTACTGAAGGCATATTGTATTATCTTATCAATTTGTTAGCTCGAGTCTATAAGATTGCAAGGCTCAAGAAAAGTTGATACAATTTATGGATGTCTGATCCCAACGGCTCTATTAGTACAGAACCTTTTAAAGACTCAAAGGTTAAATGTGTTGCACAAAAGATTTAGAAATTTGTTGTGCATCCATCTTCAACGTCTCTTGTACTATAAAGGAAAAGCAAAGATACTTGATCAAGTCACCTTCTCAACGACTAGTTTCTAGAAAGGCTATGTATATGGCCGAAGACTCAAGCTTGGATTTTTAACAAGGATTCTTCTATTGAAGGAGTAGCAAGATCAAGCAATTATTAACTCTATGCAATAGGAAGATTTTTTTTATAAGTTGTAATTGTAAAAGCCTTAAGATTTCTTACCCCTGTATTTATTTCTAAATCTTAAGTGCTTTAGGTCTTTGTTATGGTGGTCTCCCATACCTTTGATGCTCGCATCGTGTACACCTTGTTATCTATTCTGCTGAGGCTTCAGCAGTTTAGATTAAGTTTCCTACTATGTGCTAGAGCAAAAATTCTAGTCTCATTGGGATTCAAGCAACAAGTGTTAAGCCAAGATGCTTAAGCCACATAAGCCTCATTACTTAAGTGCTTGAGCTGTGAAAGTCTTATTCAGCTAGTCTGATTAAGCAAAAGTAAAGTCTTAAACATGTGCTCTAAGTAAAGGTAAGTCTCAGTGAGACGACAGATGAGCATGTGGCTCTGTATGATGGTTTAAGCAAAGTAAAGTCTTAGACATGTGCTTTAAGCAAAGGAAAGTCTCATCCAAAAGACAGATGAGCAGGTGGCTTAGTCAGATGGTGTGAGCAAGGGTAAGTCTTAGACCTGTTTTAAGAAAAGGGAAGTCTCAACCAGGAGGAAGATAAGCAGGCGGCTCAGTCTGATGGTGTGAGTAAGGGTAAGCATTATACATGTGCTCTAAGTAAGGGAAAGTCTCAACTAGAAGGCAGATGAGCAGGCAGCTCGGTCTGATGGTGTGATTAAGGGTAAAGTCTTAGGCATGCGCTCTAAGCAAGGGAAGTCACAGGCATATGGTCTGAGTAGTTGTAAAATTATTATGTAGAAGAATAAGCGATTGTAATCATGAAGCGGTTATAATGAAAAGCTCTTGTGAGAAAAGGGGACTGAACTAGTCTCAGTTAGGGGAGAAACCAATATAAATCTTTTGCGTCTTCTACTGTTATTTTATTTACTTCTGATGTATCAGTTGCCAACTAAATTAACTCAGAATCTGAACATCAATTCTGATTCCGAGACTCTGATCAGAAGCTAAATAATAAGAAAAACGCGAAACACAATTCAACCCCCCTTCTTGTGCCCTTTTCACACCTTCAGACTTGGTGGTAGGAGAAGAAACTCCTCTATCTATCTATGAATCATTGTTGTTGTAGCTAGAAGAGAAAATATGGAGAGAGAATAGAAAGAAGGAGAAAAATAAGAAAGAAGGAGAAAAAGAAAGAATGTGACGGCTGCAAGTTTCATTGGTCACTCACTTAATTTTTGTTCTAAATAATGAAATGTGAAATATATTTTTAATGTAAATAAATGCAGAAAATGTGAAGTATATTAAAAAATATGAAATGTATTAAAAATGAAAATAAGTGCATTAGTAAAATTTTAAAATGCTAAACAAAAAGCCATGCCAGATTTCTAAAAGGCAACAGTACTACCATGTAGGCAGTAATTAACGTTTTTTGTAGAAAAATTAATGGAAGGGACTACTTAGATTAACAACACGATTTTAAGGGACTATATTGTAACATTTTTTAATTAAGGGATCAAAACGAAACAATAAATTAAGTTAAGGGATCAAAATATGAATTAAGCCTACCAGAAAGTATCTTCCCTAGAGCTCACCCTCAATAGAGCAGGGTGTCCGCTCTGATGCCAATTAAAATTCTTGCAAATAGTGGACAGATGTCGAATACGATTGTTGTACCCCAAATTTTTCCCTTAGATTCCATGGTCTTTCACATATCATTTAGGACAATCATCTCTGCATAGCTAACCGTTTTACCTATTTCGTGTTTGTTTTGTAGATTTGCTGAAGAAAGTCTGAAAGTCATGAAGACCCTGTGTGTATGCCCATCAAGAGTCAACTCTTTTACAGGTGGTGTTGAATTCGTGTGGATGTAAATGAGAGATATGCCCTCTTGTTTCTGGTCCTTAATTTGTACGAGGTTATTTCGTCCTCATAATCCATCAGAAGGTTTAGGGGACAATTAAGAAGGACTTTAAGTTCTTTCCTGTGATTTAAGCATAGCCATTTGAAGCTCAGTTGGAATTCCATGGTACATGGTATTACAGATAGCATTATCATTTTAAAAGAATTTCTCCAGGTATAGTCTTACATTTATTAGCAAAGTTAAGTTATCAACGGTGAAGTGGAAGAATGCAGGCTTTTGATGGTTCATGAACCACATGTTTTTAAAATGTATTCGTGGACGAAGGGATGAAATTAAGGTTTAATCTGAAGACGTTACAATTGAATGCTTGGACCCAAATGATTAAGGCCATCTTCCCTTATGCTTTCAAGAAATTTTCAAGCTAATTGGTGTTATTATTAGGATTTCAACTTGTTTCAAGATTAGGCTTCTTGGCATATGTCAATTTGATCTCAAGACTAGTTTCAAATCATCCCTAATTCTAATATCCTTACATCTCCGAGAAGATGTCAAGAACATTTTTTTTGATTGAATTTGGAATTAAAGACTTATTTCATTTTTGATCAAGTACAAATGACAAGTTTGAAGTCCAATTTACAAATACAAGTTCAAAGATTTGGCACGAGTCAAAATGTGACTACAAGATCAAGCACAAAGTGCCACACCATTTCCACGTTTCCATATTCAAATTTCAGGAATTGGATTCAAATAACTACATATCAAGGATTCACATACTGTAAAGGTTTTTCCAAGTGCAAGTTGAAACCAATTAAAAAGCTAGGTACTTATTCAAAGTGTTTAAGGAAATTCAAAAAAAATCAAAGGTCCAAATTGTGAATTTAATCTTAATCCAAAGTCAGTATCTATATAAGAGCAAAGAAAAATGAATATCAAAGGTCCTTCACAAATGAAAAGTTGAAAGCTCCACAATTCCAAGTTCTAGTTTTCAAGATATCCACAATCTAAGCTCAAAAATATTTTTGAAGACACAAACTTCTAATTACAATTTTGCTACAAGTTTGCTTTTCATTACAAAGGAAATAAGCCTTGATTCATATCACCAGTCGTTGGTTACACCAAAATCACTTGTGCTACATTGGTATTTTGGACTTTGGTTGATTTAAGTTACACATGGGGACTGCTAGTTTGTTTTCTAAACAAATAGGTCAGTATACAAAGCTAAGTTAAATGGCTTTGCAGTGAGACACACAATAGTTATCACGTGCTATTCTTATGCAAATTGGAACGTCAAGTTTATGAAGTGCGAGTTTGCACGTACGTCTTCCATCTACTTGGTACAACCTCCGCTAGCTATTATGTGCCATGCTACCCCACACAAGTGCAAGTAGCTCAACTCTAGCCCTGCTACCGGTTTTATCCAAGTCCCTTCCTCCACACGCAGTGTACAAATTAGTAGCTTTCACAATCCAAGAGACACTTTTTCCTTTAATCTCATTTGTCAAACCTTGAACATTTCTAAGAAGCCAACATGAAACACCGTGACTGCCGTGGATTTTAATTCCATAGTAAACCTGTTCAATTAATGAAAATCTTTGAATTAAAAACAATAAAGAGTATTTATAAAACTTGAAGGAACCGGCAATTATTCCAGACATAAATAAAACACAATCAATGTAGGATTAAACAGTTCGAATTGTGCTTCAACAGATAGTTATCACCATCATCAGCAATAACAGAAACGAAAATGGAAAGCATATCACAGACATATCAGAACAAAAACAGAACAATATCACACACAATCAAGACACCCATCAAGTCAATAAACATGTTTGTTTTTCTTTCCAAAAAACAGTTCAACCGCATTCAACCAAATTTAATGGTAAAAAGCTTATAAAAGCATAAAGAAGAGGAAGGGAAAAGGGGAGAAAAAACACAAGTCTTGTAACCACATCCACATAAATAGAATTCACATATACAAAAAACCACAAATTTAGACAGATACGAAATCATCAGCATCATAGCAATGCCAAAAAGATAAAGGATTTGGAACACTTATCTTGCTATTCAACATCTCCGTTTTCAGACACCGAACGTATTTGCCCCTTGATTACGTCAAGTTCGTCGCCGACGCCATACCGCTATCAAAGTTCCTTTACTTTCACCGGTAAATCTTGATTTGTTTTTGTTAATTTTGTAGAAATCTGTTTTCGTTGAGGATTTAGTTAAATGGAGGAAGAATAAGACAAGGAGGGAAGAACAAAGAAGAAGAAGAGAAGAATGGGAAGAACGAGGAAGAAGAGGAAGGAGAGTTGAAAGGAGAAAGAAAAAAAGAATAACAGAGGGGGCGTCCGCGGAGAGCTTTTAGGGTTTTGTTGAAACCCACTTTTCATTTTGTGTCTGCCTGGTGGGTTGGGTCTATTAGATGCCCAATTTTTCTTATTTGAGGTATCAAATGTGGGCATCTTTCACTCCTTTTTGTCAAGAAAGTGTCCAATATCACTCTTGCTTTGGTTGATTTGCAAATTTGTGTGAAAGGATCTTGGCGAAGGAGCAGCGAAAGGGCCATAAACTCGCTAGGCGAGGGAGGCTGCGAAGAATTCGCTAGGCGAAGGAGCAGCGAGTAGTCAGCGAACACTCCCAGACTTGGGACAGAGGCGAAAGGGCCATAAACTCGCTAGGGGAAGTTCACAGCGAAGGCTTCGCTAGGTAAAGGATTACTCGCCTAGCGAATTTGTGAAACTTGTCTGGGTAGAGTTCTCAGGACACAGGCACCTCAGGTGGAATTTTTGGTCTTTGCTAGGCGAATCATTTACCCGCCTATCGAATATGACAGCTCAGCAGACACTTCTATAAGTAGTATGGGCAACTTTTTTGTAAAAGGATCTTTTTTCTTGTATTTGCATTTGATGGGATTTTTTTGACCTAAAAAACCCATCCCTTCATTTTCATCATCTCATAGCATTAATTTCCAAAAAGATGGTGGATTCCCATCCAATATCGATTATTCGACTCGGATGTTGATCAACCTTCTCCCGAAACTTGTTGCTCAAGTTATCATGGAAATGAGTGGCTAAATCCCTCTCTTGTTAAGGTTAGGAGTAGTTTGTTCAGATTTTATGTATCTTCTTAATCTCTTGTATGCGAACAATGTTATAATCAATGTAGATGAAGTTATTAGCTACAATTTGTACATTTATGGTTTGGATTGCTTTAGACATGAACTTTCCAAGTCTTGACCTAATATCTTCATTTATCAACTATACAAATGCTAGAGATAGATTTGAAAGTTGATATCCACTTTGTATCGATCTTAATAATTATTGTTTCGATCGTTATTTAGAGAGATCATTTAACGGTCGAAACAATAACATTCACGAAATCGCTTTAGAGATGAAATTTTTTGCGAGGATACGCGGTTATGTTGGTTAGAACTTTGTTCACATATTTGATTGGTTGGATACGTTTAGGATGGACTAGCGAACCCTAATCTTGACATGCTTTTATCAAACTTAAGACCGACTTTTATTCCGCTTTATTTCTTTGCAAACTTTTGTTACGAAAATTGAAACCATTCTAAAAACCCCCTTTTTCTTAAGTCATTAAACCGTTGAACGGCAAGCATCTATATTCTCTTCAATCCCTGTGGATACGACAAAACACTACCGCATAATACTTTCTAACAAAATGGCGCCATTGTCGGGGATTGTTAGTTGAATATTGCAAGCATTGCAATAGGTTAGTGATTTTAAGATTTTTGTATTGTGAATCTCTTATCTTTGTAATTCATTGTGCTTTTTAATTTGTTTAGTTCGTGTGTAGAATTCGTTTATGCGAGTTCAAGTTCGGCCGGAAAACCTTCTTTTCAATTCGGAGATTGAGAGAACTGCTCGGCGTGCCAATAGTCGCGCAAGGGGAAGACGGTAACAAGCTATTGAAAGACAAGAGCGCGGAGAATCTTCGTCATCCACTCCACCTAATTCACCGACCATGGCAGCACCTCCACCTCCACCTCCAGTTTCTATTCCTTGTACAAACAGTCCAAGACACACCGCTCAGTTCGCACGTAATCTTCAAAATGGAAGACAAGCCGAGATGAAGACGGGAATCCTAACACTTATCTATCAAAATCCTTTCACGGGATTAGATTATGATGATCCGTTTACACATCTCACAAAATTCTATGAGATTGTGGGTGCAACGGGAGCAACCGAAGCTGACAAAGAGTCATTGTTCAGGAGGCTATTTCCTCATTCCTTGATTGGGAAAGCGAAGGAATGGTATCTTGATCAATCTACAACAATCATGATGGATTGGAGTCTTTTGGAAGAGAAGTTTCTTGAAAGGTTCTTTCCACATAACTGTTTCATGGAAGCTAAAACTACGATAGTTGTGTTTTCACAAGGAGCAAGTGAATCCCTCAACGATGCTTGGGAGAGGTTTAAGTCTATGTTAAGAAAATGCAAAGGACACAGTTTTGATGAACTTACTCAAGTTCATATTTTCCGCAATGGTCTCCTTTCGGTCCACAAGACCTTATTGGATGCTACGGCGAGAGGTTCTTTGATGTCTAAAAGCGCCGATGATGCAATTCCAATTATTGAGAAGATGGCACTTAATGATAACCAAGGGAATCATAACCGTGGGGTAGCTCAAAGAAAACCAGGCATGCTCGAGTTAGGTACGAATGACGTTATTCTTGCCCAAAACAAACTTCTTACACAACAAGTGGAGCTTTTAACTCAACAAATGTCAAAGCTTCCACAACAAATAAGAGATGCAAGAAGTTCCTACTCAAATCCAAGTGGCAAGTTGTGAGTTATGTAAAGGTGACCATTCTACCGGATATTGTCCTCCTATTTTGGAAGAAGCCAATTATGCCGGAAATCAAAATTAAGGATATCAACAAAGACCACCTTATCAACAAGCAAACCAAGGTTATCAAAGACCTAATCAAGGGTACCAACAACCTTGGAGGCCGCAAGAAGCCGGAACTTCAAATCGTCAACAATATCAAAACTACACTCAACCTCCATAAACTCAAAGTGTACCATCAAAGATGGAGGAAACTCTCACTCAATTCATGAAAATGTTAATGTCCAATCAAAAGAACACCGATGCGGCTATTAAGACTTTGGAAACACAAGTTGGCCAATTATCAAAACAATTGGCCGACCAACAAAAAGGGCCTTTTACGGCTACCGCTACTCCAAATCTGAAGGAGCATTGCAAGGCGATTCTTACAAGGAGTGGAAGAGAAATTTACATGGGCGTGGGTGAGGAAGTAGTTGCGGAGGAAGTTGTAGTTGAAAAAGAAATCGAAAATGTTGAGGATGAAGTAGAAAAAAATGTTGAGGGAGAATTAGTTGAAAATGAGAAAGTGAAAAAAAATGAGGAAGGAGAGAAAAGTAAGAGAGACGAAAGATTAAAGAGGTCTAGGAAAGGAAAAGAGAAAATGAGCCTTATTCCTATTCAAAATTTACCTTATCCACATGCTTCGACAAGAAAAGACAATGCTAGACATTATGCTCGGTTTATGCACATATTCAAACAATTGCAAATTAATATTCCATTTTCCAAAGCATTGGAGAAAATGCCAAAGTATGCTAAATTCATGAAGGACATTCTCACGAAGAAGAAGCGGTATACGGATCAAGAGACAATCATGGTGGATGCTAGTTGTAACACAATTATTCAACGTACTCTCCCGAGGAAAGAAAGTGATCCGGGACGAGTCACTTTGCCTATCACAATTGGAAATGCTTATGTTGGCAAGGTGTTGATTGATTTGGGCTCTAGAATAAGTTTGTGTTGCAGTGAAAATCAGATATCAAGCTATTGAATTAACTTGAATCTTGATTCTTTTACAACCGAACTTTAATTTATCCAAAGGAAAGGTCTAAAGAAAGAAAAAACCCCTTTTTGGGATGTAACAATAACGCTAAGAGATTCGGGGATCGGGGGTTGGTTATGCATAAGGTAGGTATTTCACATCCTAAGCATCTGTAGTACTCTACAGGAACCTTTTGTTTACTTGCATGCTAAGTTTGGTAAATTTTTGATATGGATTTGTTAAGGATTGGGAAAAAAGGTGTAGGTTAAAACCTAAAGATATATACACTAAGTTTGCTCGCAAAGATATCGAATCTTCTGCCTACGTAACCTAACTAGGATAGAATTAGAGCAATCGTAGTTCACCTCATTAAGTTTGAAGAACACTTGATTGTGATCAAGGTTCAGAGGGGAACAAACATCACAATGTTTATGTGGAGTTTGACAAAACTCCCTAATCTAAGTTGAACACTCAAAAGGGGAAAGTAAGAATTCATGACAATGATTCTTACATAGAGTTGACAAACTCTACCCTAGGGTTCTAGTTGAAGAACACTCCTAGTAAAGGTGGGTTTCCTAGACTCAAAAGAAAAGTCTAATGGTTTCTAAACTAAGGTTAAAGATGACTTAACAAAGTCAAGAGAATGGTTATGAGTTATCCATTACACAAGGGGTCAATGGAAAAACTTTTCCTTTGGAAGGAGGAAGGGGAGTCAACTTGGATGAGAATAACAAGTTTCATCATTTGGGGAAAAGAAAAAAAACTTAATCAAGAAAATATCATGAAGAAAATAAGCATGGTGACAACCATTAAATGAACATGTTA